CCTAAGATCCATTCCCCCCTTCCCCCTCCTAAGATCTCCCCCCTTCCCCTCTTTATAAGATCCTTTGCCCCCTTTCCCCTGATTTCCTTTCACCAGCATGGGCATCATCCCCAGCATCACCTGCATCATCAGCCTACTTAGCAGACTCTGATGCGGATGATGCAGGTGATGCTGGCGATGTTATTCTGGACATGCTAATGATGCAGAAACGGAGCTGTGGGGATTTTTTACGCAATTGTTCCCAGCCCCGCAAAGAGCGGCCTTTTTTTTTAAAAAAAAGTGTATATACATATTATATATATATACAATTATTATTATCATTATTATTCTTATTCTGTATTATTATTACTATTATCATTATTCTTATTATATGTATACTTATTTATTTATCTTTATCCGTATCATGTACATGGCAGCCGTCAAACACAATCCAACAGACTGTTCTGAGGCCTTATCAACTCATGCCCATCCTGTTCTAGACCTACCAGATCTGAGCATGTGATGCGTTTGCAAAAAAACGCATTTGAATTCAATCCAGACGTGAAAGCCCTAAGATGCTTAGAAGTGAATCGTGTCCTGCATGCAGCTCCTGGACTGAAGACTCAAAGTTCCTAGGCGTCCAAATCCTGCTTTTGGGATGAACAGCATGCCTCTCGCAGAAAGGCTTTCCAGATGGTTGTTTTCCATACTTGATGAATGTTCCAAACGATTCCGTTTGGCGAACTCAGCCGAAATCAGGTTCAAATGTCTCAGAAAGAGCTTTGGGCTGGGCATGCCAGATGTGTGTAGATCATGTTCATGTGAGCCACCACACAACTCAAATTTATGAAAACCTTTGTTTGTGAGCCACCACACATCCTGAATTCCTGGCAGGCTTGAGAAAACGGAGGATATGTCCAGCATGTATACATTATAGACTATATATATATATTCACAAGTATGTATTGATCCATTGGAGAACATCCAGGAAATCCAACATGCTTGAACGAATGCAAGAACTTGCCATGCAGCCCTTGATGCCCCTTCTATTTGCCGCAAAGGTCGGTATTTCTGGTTTAAAGGATACAGATAAGGGCCCGCGGCACGTGTACACAAACAGAAGGAAGATCGCGCGAGGACGAAATTGGAGCCTTCGTGGACTTGACGGAAAAACTGCCAATAGAGGCAGGCCCAAGGGTGTGCGACGGTCACAAAGACCTCGTGTTGCGTTTGGCCGCCATTCAACAGAGAGTGCTACAGAATTTAGGGAATTGTTCTCTCGCTGGATTGGGATTGTTTTTTCCAGTCCCGGTAGCACGAATGGTATCACTCATGTTGCTAGATTCGACGCTCAAGGCTTCCCCGAACGAGCGAGGCGTGACAACAAGCGAGGCTTCCCTGGTGAGCGATACTTTAAGCTTTAGGGGCAGCTGCCTTTGAATCACGCGGCTTGGCCCGCAGCTAGTGGATGATAACAACTTAACATCATTTTGTGCAAATTCATAAATGACTTGGCTGCGTCCCTACAACCATCCAACAAGGAGGTTCCCTAAATTGAGGAAGTTGCTTCTTTAGCAATCTTGATGCAACACATTCGATGAGGCGCGACGCTCCCACTCACCTTCGAAGATTCTGAGCCATGTCCTAATTGACAGGATTGGCGCTCTGGATGGCTCCAAGCATCATGCTGTTATGTCATGCAGGATAAGCTTTGACAAGCTGAAACTCTAGGTGATGTAAGTAAGCGGCTGCTTTCGGAACCTTTGCACAGACCAGCATCAATCTCTGCCCTGGCGGTATTTTGCAGTTGATCTTGCAACGCGCCATTTTTCCATCTTCGACAAGCAACAATTGCCATGGTTAGGTGTGGGATGGATGCATGCAACCTGATGGCTGAATATTTCGCGAGAGCATGCATGATACTGCAATCTGTGGCCACAATCATCCCGGCAACCTGCAACATATTGCTGCCTTCCATGGCCACTAGAAGCAGTGGCTTCAAGCAGCAGAGCCTTGTTTCTTGGAGCCAGGTGAGATTTCTGGAGTTCATGCCCTTCGATGGAAACAGCTGGAGTGCCAACCGGTTGGTGCCACAGGACCGCAATTCTATCGGTGCAGTCTATTGGCCATGCAACTCTGTGGGTCTAGTGGGTCTACGATTTGCTTTCTGAGCGGCTGGAGTGAGGGCCTATCATGACGCCATTGCTGTTGGACCGCTTTGTAAGACAAGTGTGTGTTTGTGTGTCCTCTTGTCTTTGAGTCTGTGTGCACCTTGTTCGGGCACGCGTGCAGAAACAAACAAAAGACGCTCGTAGTTTGGGAGGCTGAAATGCTCCAGAGCGTCCAGAATCACCTTGAAACCAGAGGCAAGACTCCCGCCGTGCGGAGAGTCAAAGGGCATGGGTGGGCTGTCTGATGGGCCAATCACAGGGGTCATATTGGCCTTGGCTTTTGCGCGGCTTTTTCCCAACAGGTGGTCCTGCCAGAGAGTTGTGATGCCCAGCATAGCTGCTAACATCATGGTTTGACACGGACTGGTCCCAGCGTGGCGCAGGGCTTCAAGCTGAACGCTTGCGTCTCTCTCAGTCGCTTTACATCGTTCAATGCAAACAATGTCACCAAGGCCACCGGATTCGCTGCATGACGTTGCGCGCCTGTGGAAAGTGCCGAGCTTAGCAGAAGCTGTGCTGCAGAATCTGGTGCACTTCCAGTCGGCTTCGATTCACCTTAGGTGCCCGGCTGGCAAGGTCGGCTGGGGGCGGCGACCTCAGAGTGTCACTGAGGCCATGGATATGTGGGTATGGGTCAGAATTAAACACCAGGAATTGGACCGCAGGTTTTAGTCCATGTTTCCATTTACCAGAGTTCCATTTTGGGTACCTATTTTTGACCACCCATATGTTGGGTCCAGTGAATTTTGTTATGCTGCGGTAGTTCCAGCCTCGCAAGTGGCCATCGCTAGCTTTGCTTCTCTATTGCTCAATCTGGGAAGGCTTCTAGTACATGACATGGGTGTGGGACAAAAATTAAACCACCAGAAAAACCGCAGGTTGTAGTTGAAGTTTCCATTTACCAGGGTTCTATTTGGGGCACATATATTTTGACCCACAGCCACATGAGACATCCAAGATGCAGAAGCACATCACGGCACGCGGATGCTCTCCTGCGGCGCATTGGGTCAAACATGGTCTCGATGAGAATGGCGGAAGCCTGCTCATGTCTCATGTTTGCGTGGATCCTTGGGACCAATAAGGTTTCGGCGTCTTCTTTTTGATCAGTTGTTTTTTTCTTTCTTTCTTTTTAAACAAAGAGAGCTCAGGTGATATCCCCAACAGCATGCGGTGCTCTTGTTAGTGCTCGAACCACCCCGCAGCCCTCGCAGAACCCCGGAGCCTAGCTGGGTGAGACCCCAAAGCTTTCAGCTGTTGGGGGAAGAAAAAAACATCCCATGAAACCTCCAAGGCCGCGGTTTTGGGACCTGTAGCAAGTCCTCAAGGCCTTTCACATCTCCAGTTGAGTGCCTCGTTCTTCTTGGAGTTGGTGCCCCCATGTTTGGTGGTTTTAAAAGGGAAGCCACCAGGAAAACCGTTGCGCCACCTCATTCGAAAGACGAGCCGAGAACGAGGTGATCTCCAGCATGACGGATGCCTTTTGTGGCGGTTGCAATCGGATACGGCTCACCGCTGCTGGCCAATGCCTCAATCAACTTGGGATCTCGGGTGGGAAAACCAACAAATCTGCCGATTTTATGCCACGAGCGCGCCGATTCGGGGGCAGTGATGGCTGAATTCAGCTTGTGGAATTATAGCAAGTGTTGCAGATCAATCCATGCAAGAGGAAGCCATGAATTCGGGGCTTGCAAAGATGTGACTGCCATCAGCGGATTTTTTGGGGCGCTTCCGCTGTGTGTTGCTTTGCGTTGACTGAATGTGAGGCCAGCTGCGCAACTGCCTATTTGGAGAGGAAGGCCCGGCCAGGCATCGAGGAGGTTTGACCCCAAGCTTCCATTTGGTTAAGAATATATATTTTCCCCTGTTGATTTTAAAGGGAATCTATCACTACCGTTTTTTTTGTCCAGGGGACTTAAGCAAATGGAGGCAAGGGAAGGCAGGCCGGGCTGCGAGGCTGGGACCTGCTGCAAGAGATGCGGGGTGGTGCTTCTGATGGCAGCCTTGCGGAGATCGTCTCGCAGGCAGTACAAAGGCCAGGACTTTGGTCAGGAAAAGGCACCTGGATCGATCAAGGCGCAGGTTTGACTCCATGCTTCCATTTGCCAGGGCAAGCCATTTTGGGAATCTGCTTGCTTCGTGCAGGAAGCACGCCAAGCTGGGTGGAAAGCGAGACATGTTTGAGCTCCGAGAGAGAGGAGACAAGGCCATGCGCTGCAGTTTGAGTTTGCTGATGGCAAGATCAGCTGCGGCAGGCCCTTCCAATGATCGCTTTGGGCGGCTGACACCTGCTCTTGGATTCTAAGACAGTCTGTCTTGCCTGATGTGCCTGTGAAAACGCGCCAGTGCAAATTGCCTTTCATGTGCTGTGTGGAGCTCGCCATGCAAGGGATGCGCAGTTGCAGTCGGATCCGGCTGTTGGCCAAAATTGGCAACTTTTGCTTAGGCTCAGTTGAACAGACTGGGCCGGGCAATGTGCATTCCCGGCCATTACACTGCCTGTGCGCCACACACGTACATGCAGGCTTTGCACCGTTTTCCATCAGTTTCCACACCCGAGCCTCCCAGCTCATGAGTTCAAAAGAATGTGTTGGGCTGCGAAGAGGGTGGGGAGAGGAGGAGCCGAGGGACAGAGAGAGGGGTCTCTTTTGAGACGAAATTTGCCGAATGCCCACCGCTAGTCAATCGACACACAGCCATGAATTCAGAGATGCTGATGCAGCGACACGGCATTCACCCAGGCAATGCCAAATGATCGCTGCAAACATTGTTTGCATTCAAAACACCCACTTGGATGTTCAGTATGCCGACAAAGACAGAAGTTGCACTCCAAGCAGATTATGCTGTTGAGCCATGGGGTTGAGCGCAGACAGCGACATTACCGTCAAGCACCTTGGCCGAGAAAGACTTGCAGCCATGATGCGACATTTGGCGGGCCTTACTGGAAATTGTTTTGCCTCACAGCTCTTTGCTTGCCAAGTCTTGGGGAAAAAAGGCCTGCCACTGGAGACGTGCCCCAACCACGCATTCGGTGTCAGCTGGGCGGTACAAACCCGGACGTGCAAAATATGAGGGCATGTATTTGGGGGCACACACCAGGGGCGGCGTATTGCAGTTGTCGTCCTTGGTGGTCGATTTCAGGCACCCTCAATCAAGTAGGCCGGCGTTGACAGATTCTCCGCAGTGGGCCCTGTTGCACTTTTGGGTTAATTTAGTGGAACGTCATCAGATTACCGCGCAGTACGTGGGGGACCCCTCCCCGTAAACCCTACGTATCAGACGTCGGTGGCGGGGGGGGGGGGTTAGGGGGGGGGGTTATCCTCTATCCTCGCTTAAGTATCCGACACGCCTCCGCAATGTCGGCGGACATCAGCAGGCCTTTTGGGTTCATTTGCCCAAGGGGAATGTACAAGCACCCCTGGACAGAGTCAGCATGCGAGGTTGAAGGAGCTGCTCGAGCAAACACCCGAACTGGGCTATAGAGCTGTGCATGCGCAGCTGGCCGAGCAGGGCTTCAAGGCGGCTCTCGAGATGTTCAGAAAGCTCTTTGTTGCGAATGAGACATGGCCATGAATTTAAATAAGGAACCCTCTAAGCAGTGGTGGACATAAAAACCGAACCGAAATCATTGTCCACCAGGTGGTCCCTAATTAGAATTCATGCCCATGCAAATGAGGAGATGGGAGGATTCCTCAAGTGTAACCCCAAGTGAATCGTACTGAATGCGTGAATCAATGAGTCGAAACGACTCCTGGGATGAGATGGGACAAGAAAGGAAGATAAGGACAACATGGCTGCATGAAGGGATTGATGAGTGAGTGGCTAGGAAGTGTGGTGGGTAAGAGGGGTGTGTACAGGTGCAGAGGGCGGGTAGGGAGGGTTGGGTGGCGGGGGGTAGGTGAGTGAATTGTCGCAGAGTTGCATTTTGGCAGGATGTGGGGCTGAAGAAGGTGCAGAAACTGATGCGTGATCTGAGAGAGGCGCGGGTGCATGAGCAGAATCCCGTGCTTGAATTTGGCATTTATTCTCAAATCTGAGATGGAGACACGAGATGCATGCATATGTGTATATCATCCCCACCCCCTTCCCACCCCCTTCCCACCGCGGGGGGGGGGGGGGGGTGGATGTCTGCATCAGATTTGCCTTTGTGTGGGTGCTGGAGCGATCTTTCCCTAGGAAGGCTTCGCCGGCTACAAAGCGCAAAGTGATGAAGCCCCTCTGTCAGATTGCAAGGAAAGCAACGAAGATACGGAGGCACGCGTTTTGGGCTTGCAAGCGAGGGATCGACAGAAGGAGCTGATTTCAGCGGCACATTAGCGCTAGGGAGGGTAAGAAATGATTTCTATTAAGTGACGTTGTGACGTGACAGCCGCAGAAGTGGATTTGTATCCGCGAGGGTTTGCGAGTCGGCAGATCAGAGGTGCTGTTTGTTTGCTGCTGCTGCTGCTGCTGCTGCTGCTGCTGCTGCTGCTGCTGCTGCTGCTGCTGCTGCTGCTGCTGTGTTGTGGTTTTTGGTTCTTGGCTTTGGTTGTTGGATTAATTGAGCGGGGAGGGCGTGTGCGGATTGTCAATGGCAGAAAACGCTGTGCGTTTAACTGCCACTTCCATTTTTGTGCTGTTGCAGGACATATGGCCGTCAAGTGCATCCGCTCAAGTGCACCAGCTTAGCGTCACACACACACACACGCCTGCCAAGTGATAGGCAAATCATTCAGCACCCATTCAGCACTGTAGTGAACTGGCAAACGTCCCCACTCGGAATTGTTGTTGAGAGCCGCCCCCCCCCCCCCGGCGAACCTTGTTGCTGCTGCTGGCTGCTGTGTCAAAGGCTCTACCGTACGCGTCGATCCGTCATGCGAGCGCTTGCTTTTGAATGCTACAGAGCAAATAATGGGGCGCTTTCATGAATTGTGCAATGAGCCGCCCCTGCGAGGTCAGCGTTTGCAGATCCGACGTTTCGCAGAAGTTTGGAATGATGATTGACCCTTGGTCATGGCACAGTGATTTTGATTCGGATGTGTCCACTAGAAGCGCTGCCGGAATTCGCACAGCATAGATGAGGATACGGAGACGTCCTTTGGAGGGCATCGTATCAGCGATATAAGAGAGGGAGGTATCATCCACGCTCCTCAGCTCAAGAGGGTGGCGCAGCCTTCTGCTGTGCCTGTGCCTGTGCAAGCTCTGAGACCGACAGGCCTCACACCTTGATAACGCCCTGTGTGTTTCCGAGGAGTGGAACAAGAACAATCCAGAAACAGCCATCCAGGTCAACGACATCCTTTTATCAGTGTGTCTGGGGCAAGATCGGTCAGTCAGCAAGGTAAACATTGATGGCTTTTTGGGGAGTATGCCGCAGCTTGTATAGCCAATGTGGCAATTGTCGTTCAACCCGCCTCCAGCAACGATCAAGGAATGACACGTGCACCTTCGATCAAATGATGGCAACTCGCTTTAAGTTCCGTTGCTTAAGCACTGGAGAGGTAGGTGACACTTGGAAGCAACCGCGGAAGCCAAGGAAGAGTTCAAGACCCAACTCAGCTGCAGACTGCGACTGCGACACGCAGGCAGGAACTTGTGTGTGTGTGTGTGTGTGTGATTGTTTTGTTAGTTTGTGTGCTTCAGTACCACAACAACTGAGGTGATCTCAAAGAGGACGACTCAGAAGCTAAGAAGGAGGCAGCTGAGTGGGAGCGACGGAGGGCGCGCGTGACTGCAGCGCTGGTTCCGGGATTAAAGAAGAGCCTTGACTAAAGTCTTTGCTCTGTCTGATTTTGCTTGGCGCTCAGCGCAGAGCAAGAGTGCAAAATCTGTGCGGACTGTCCAGTCAAGTCGACACGCTCTGTTTCTCCTGCATCGCGAAGGCATGTTGACCAGCAAAGTAGCTTCCAGCTGTTGGTTGCTCATGACAAGCCATTCTTGGGAGGGTTTCTCATGCGTGTCTATGTGTGCTAAGCATGAGTGAGAGACATACTGTGGCGACTTCAGGATCATCGACAGCGAATTTGGGCCAGGAGCTGGTGACAAAATTGGCCGGGTGGAGAAGATGTATCACCGAGTTGGGCGCAGCTGGGAGCAATCCATCCACTGAGAGAGTTTGATGGGGTCTGGCCACGATTGGCTACAGAGGTTCGGGATCCAGGATCCATGCGCTCAATAAGGGGGGATGGCTCAGCTCGAGCAAACCAAAACAGGCCGAACACCCGAATTTGTCCACAGACTCGGGCCTCATGGATCACGTCCACTGAGAAGTAGCTTCCACTGAGGCAATGACGTCTTTCAAGAGGAACTGCCATCAGGGCGCCGCCTTGCGCCGGGCTACATCGAAGATCTGGCGCCAGTCACACCTTTTCATGACGTCCAGGACTGAAAGGGTTCCGCTGGCAAGGAGCGAGGCGGGTCTGAGCTTGTTTGTCGTGCTCCCAGGACCATCCGTGGTGCGCTGAGCTTCAGAAGCACTGGAAGTCGATCAAGCAAGAGCTTCGGAAGAATCTGGATGAGTCCCTGTGGACTGCAGGCGCTTGAAAAGTTGAGTCACGGACGCTGACTGTGATGAGAATGCAGGCGCTTATCAAGCTTCCAACGAGGCTTATGGAAAGGACTGGAAGATTATGGGTGCCTGGACCTTACCCAGGAGCGCCCATTTTGGAGGCCTTGGCCAGTCAGACTCAGGTACTTACAGAAGACAAGTGGCAAGATGAGAGGCGGTTCAAAGTAACCACAGGCCTGTGACAGCATCAAAGCTTGTAAGAGGGCCTGGTGCTAGGTGGGTGTGGCTCAAAATTTAAGGGCTGGGGCTACGCAGGTTTTGGTCTTTGTTTCCATCCAAGGGGCCCAAAAATGGGTTCACTTTTTTGAGCCACAGCCAGGTGTTCTGCGAAGTCTCTGCGGCTGGGACCCTAGACAATTCACTCTGACCGGTTGCGCACCTGGGATGCTCTTGCCAGGTGTTAATTTAATCGGCAGGAAAAGTTAGCCTCCCCCAGACTAACATGGAAGCTCCCGAACGGTTAGTTCCATTTACGGAGGCCTTCTGGGAGCTTCCGGCTGTTAGTCTGAGGGAGTGTAAGTTAGGTGTTGTGCAGGCATCAAGCCGTTCGAAGCCTTCTTTGCAAAGATGCCACCGCGCACAAAGATTGCGCCGCATTCCGACAATCTGAGTCTTGGCAACACTCGATCAATGTGCAAGATCGTTGACGAGTTCTGGAGCCAGAGTGTGCCGTTTGCAAGGAACTATGTGCTCACATCACATTTGGCAGCCCGGCTGAAGTTGGCCGAGCCGTGCCAAACTTATATGGCCGTGGGTCAACACCAATGGTACCATGTTGGGGTAGGTGCACCACTCATTTTAGTCTATTTTAGTGGGGATTGGGATGTTCACTGGGGGTACGGGGTTTTGACCCATGCAGTTTCGCCAAGGCATTGGACCTCGATGAGGGGAAATGCTCCATCACCGTCGGCAACGAGGAAAAGTATTGGAGGGAGGGCGAAATGCTGATTTTGGACACCACCTTCATCCACTCAACCAAGTCCCTCGGCAAGCTCCGCCGCGTGCGTTTGACTCCAAGGGTCCCACTTTTTTGACCCAGACTTTTACCCAGTGGTCGATATCAAAAGGGAAACCCCTCAGCTTAATGGCGAGTCAAAAAGTTGGCCCCTGCCAACTTTTTTTTTCTCAGTCACAGAATGGCCTTATGGCAAGGAACGAGTCCAAACGTCCTCGCTATATTCTGGTGCTTCGATTTTGGCATCCTGGGCTCTCCGAGGACGGCCTTGGATGCTGACTTAGGAAGCAAATCATTTGAGTCATAATCAAAACCCGGGTAGATTAAGGTTAGTAGGGGACAATCCCAACCATAAATAGCTGTGGCCGCCTTCTTAATTCTTTACATGGTTCTGGGTAGACCATGTTAATACCGGGTTTTTATTATGACTCATTTGGAGAGTTGTGCCTTGAGTATTTTTCCCGCTGAAGTTGCTGCCTTGAAAGCTTAATTGGTCAGGAGGAGCGCAGGGCAATACATGTATCGCATGCTATATTGGCCAGAGCAGCAGCTTGATGCAATGTGCTTGAAGATTGACACATGGCCTTTCGTTTATAAGTGAGCCTCTCAGTCTTTTGGAATGCATTGAGATGAGCTAAGGCTCAATGAAAGCTCGATACGCTTTGATGGCTGTTGTTTCAATGGCATGTGCGGAATTTAGCGCAGAGCAAGGCCTTTGCATTGTCCAGACAGGACAAGTCTCCAGAAATCCGGTTTGAACCCTCGCTTGAGCAGGAAAATCAGCTGCAAGCGACTCATGCCGTTGACGATTCCTGCGAGCAGCATTCAACAAGATGTTCACAGCTTACGTGGCAAAACCTGCGCTGATTGGTGCGCAGATGAGCAGATGGATGATGCCTCCAAGTGAGAAGAGGCGTCAATGCTGAGTTGAGAGTGTTTTCCGATGTCATGCTGAGGCAGGTGGAAAACTGCGTGTTCTGATGTCATGTGCCTCCAACTGCATTTTTGTTGAGCGACATGTGATTTTTGGTTGTGCACAGGCCACCAAACGGACAGCCGCCCTCATCTACTCCCAACCAGGTGAGGTGCAAAACAAGTGCAAAAAATCAGCGGCTCAGAGACCGCGTGCCGAACGATTGTTTTCGATTGGCAAAGGAAACACTCTGTTGGCTGCAGCAGTTTGTGAGGCACAAGGCGTGCAACCACAAGGTGTTCAGCCACATGTGCGGCTCTTAAAGACGCATAGAGCTTTCTGTGACCATCAGGTTCGAACAGAAGGGATAAACAGATCCCCGGCATCCCCGCGCGGCTGCATGTATAATGCGCGCGGCCATGTGGATTTGGCCCAACGGACCCCTTTTGGGAAAAATGGTCGGCGGATATCCTTTTGTCGCACGCACCAGCAACAGATGGGGAAACAAACGTTTCCCGAACAAAAAATAGGTGTCTGTCTCGAAGAAGCCTTATGTCTGTCACGTGTTCCGTCTCGGCCAAATTGCAGAAGCCCTAGAATGGCTGTTCTGGAAAACAAACGTTTGGTTGGAGAGTTTTGTTTGTTTGCTTTTGGGGGATCTCTGAAAGAGGCTTCCCATAGCGAAAAATACTTGTCGGACAAACTGCGGTTGCAATTGAAAGCAAGCATCTCGGGAACTCAGGCTGTGAGTTTGCTTCACTGCACGCCAACTCTAGTTTCACCAGAAGGCTTGTTGTGTCCACGGCCACGGACACTTTTTGTCGCAACCTTTGTTTTATTTACTGCAACGTTTGGACAGTTTTGGGGTGGGCTTGGGGTTGGTTTACGGTGAGTTGTATGGTTGGTTTAGAGTGCATTTACGGTTCGGGGGGAGTGTTTTTGTGGTTTGGCCTAGGTTGCGGGTGGTTTGTTTTTGTGCTGGTTTAGGCTTGGTTACGTCAGGGGTTAGGGTTGTTCAGGGCGAGTTTACGGTGGGTTGAGTTGGTTTAGGGTTGGTCTAGGGCTGATTTAGGGTTGGTTTTGGTTGGTTTTTGAGGCGGGTTGTAGTGTGCGTTTAGGGTCGGTTTTTGGTTTCGGGTTGGTGTAGGGCATTGGTTTAGGGAGCTTGCTAGTTTAAGGTGGGTGTACGTTGGCGGCTTCAGTATCTTGACCGTACTGCTAGTTGTGATGGGGGCGGTTGCCCCCCCAACCACCCGCTTTTGTTTTAAGAAAGTTTTTTGGCTGCCACCCACAAACCCTCTTCACCAACATAACCCTAACCCTCAAACTAACCCCCACCATTAATCCTTTCCTAGGCGAACCCCAAAGGCTGAAAGGTTAGTTTCCATCCAACAAACAAACCTCTGTGACCCCCCAAACCTATATTTCTTGGCTCCGGAGCTCACACTGGACAAATCCATCACCTGGTTGTGTTGGTGTGTTTCCCTGCCCTGGGAAACATCAGACACGATCCATACTCCTTCGAACTGATCCACCAGTAGGGTCATTTTCCGTTTGCGGCTTTTGCACAGAAGCTCAAGCATGGCAACCATGTCGAAGCCTTCGCCAGTTGCAGCAAGGTGTACTACCCCTCTGCGCACCAGCTCTGAGCGAACGCGGAGCATTTTGTTCCACGTACAGGCTCACGAAACGTGGAAGGCAAGCTGCCATGTCAGACCATCAATTTGTCAAGAGGCTACCAATCAATGCGACATCTTCAGAAGGCAATGCCAACAGTGGGCGGAGAATTAGCATTTTCCTGCACTCTAGGGTCTCACCCGCGCTCACAGGATCGGAAGACAGTTGTTGCGCAAAGTTGGCCTTGGGGCATGCTTTTGCCCAACTCCCCCTGTCTGCTTCCATGTTAATTTGTGGGAGTAAATGTTTGGGCACTTCCCCCAAGTCGTGCAGTTCAGCTGCCGCTGGGGGATCATGCAATGTGCTATTGGGCAATCTGGGAGCACCGTCGCAGAGTTACAGGAGTACTCTGCACAATGGCCAGACCTCGCTACGAAGCACTGCACCCGCCTTAAGCTGCCAACAACAACGAAAGTAGCACTATCTGTCAGAATGGCAGGCAGTACTGGAAATGTGGCATTGTGTTTTTCTGCGTGTGAGAGTGACTGTGTTCATGTAGGGGTTGTTTCAGCAAAAGTCTGGGTAGATCCATGTTGCCTCCACAGCAAAAGAGTCGAAATATCTGGCGTAAGTAGGACAGATTGAGCTTGATGCCTTGGAATGCTGAGTTCACATGATACAACATGGCACAAGCTTTGATACCAGAAGGACCTAATGCAAGGAAAAGCCTCATGTTTGTTGGCGCATTGTTGAGTGTATCTGGACGATGGCGCCAACTCATTCAGCAGAATTCTCACAAGTCAAAACAAGCCTGGCCCGGAACTCCGAGCTGACTCTTGCGTTTTGCTGGCTTGCTTCGGCGCTCGAGTAAGCATGCTATGTGCTTCCTTTTAGACATATTGTTGAAAAAGAGGCGTGCCGGAACTGCAACAGTAGCTTCAAGGCATCCAGAACCAACTCTCACACATATTTTGGCACATTGGAAACAACAGCAAGAACAGACAGCGAAATTGCCCACTTGTTATGCAGTTTTTTTTCTGCGGACATGTAGGCCCAAAATGGATGTGCTGGGTGAGTTTGCAAGCATCATGGGCTGTCAAAGCAAGAGACGGAGACGAACACATGATGAGCAATGCAATGCATCCCAAAAAACACATGTCACAAGCGACCAGTAGAGAGCCTGATTGCACAAAGTGCCGCCATGAAAATCATCATCAATAGCACTGCTGGCTGAATTTGGCCAAACAAAAATACTGGGTTGCTGCATGTGCAATTGTGCAGCAGGCTACAGACCGGTGGCGGTTTGGCAATGGGAGGCCGCTGGGGAACTTTGGCTTGCTGTTCGAGTGCTTGCGGTTTTGGCTCACGAAAATTGACAGCCTTGCTCAGGTGGATGAGGATTGTTGCTCCATCTGTCGCCTCATGGTTGCACCACATGAGCGAGATGTCAGTTTCACATGACACCCGATCCGATCTGTGAGTTTGAGGCATGCCATTCGACGCTTGCTGCCCTGAGTGCAAAATGCCAGGCGGGTCTGTGTGTGTGTGTGTATGTTGCATGTAGGCATATGAAAGACGGAGTGCAGATGTCTTGAAACCCTGCACGTCGGTCTGATTCTACGAGGATTGTGTGCTCGGTGCCGCTGCGATTTGTTGCACAAGTGACTCGCAGGTGATGATTGTCCTCCAGTATGGGG